TACTAAATAGATTTTTGCAAAGGTTCTTTGCACTCTATTGCAGCCTTTCACTTCTGAAACTTGGTGCACAGAGCGTCACTGTGAAGTCAAAAATGACAAGAAGCAGAAGAGAGGGTCTGAGTTTCCAGCAGTCAATAGTAGCTCTCCAACACCTGGTACTCTCACTTACATTGTTGTTTTGTCTGATATGCACATAGAAGCATTAAAAAAATACTGGAAATTCATGACTGCTCTGGCTCCTGACTAATCATTGGACAGGATTGCAGGCTGCTGACAGCAGCAATGAGAGATGTATTTTACTGAGTATGGGGTAAGCAGACCCATACGGTTAGAATAACTGACCAGAAATGTGGAAAGAGGATGCAGCTGGTGAGCTAGGAAGCACTTGCCTAAACAAGAACATCCAGAGAGCACTAACTAATGAGTCAAGTAAAGAGGAGCAAGCAAGAGAGAGTCTTGAAGGTGGGGCATTGGTATCCACTACACATATGGTATATATCTACTTTGTTATGGAATCATAGAATCATAGAATAGTTAGGGTTGGAAAGGACCTTAAGATCATCAAGTTCCAGCCCTGCCATGGGCAGGGACACCTCACACTAAACCATGTCACCTAAGGCTTCGTCCAACCTGGTCTTGAGCACTGCCAGGGATGGAGCACTCACAACCTCCCTGGGCAACCCATTCCAGTGCCTCACCACCCTAACAGGAAAGAATTTCCTCCTTATATCCAATTTAAACTTCCCCTGTTTAAGTTTTAACCCATTACCCCTTGTCCTATCACTACAGTCCCTAATGATGAGTCCCTCCCCAGCATCCCTGAGCTTTGCCTTGGCACTAAAGAAATTAGTTGTACCGAACCCTGGCACTGTGCTTGCATTATGCTTGTAGACTTCCTGCTGCAAGAGGAGATGGGATTTGCAGGCAATGGCAAGGCCTGGTCTGATTTTGTATAGATGTCCTTCAAAGGGCAGATCATAGTCATAGAGTTGGGGTGGAAGGGACCTTAAGGGTCATCTAGTTCATCCCTACTTTGACCCTTTCAACCAAAGCTGTATTCTCTGGGCAATATTTACTATGTATCTGCTGCTCCTTCCCAACTGCTATGGATTCTGCTGAATATTAACAGCCTAATCCTACAACCCTTCCTCCCTGGGCAGATCTCCTGCAGCAGCACAGCAGTCAGAACAAATTGGAGAAGACAAAGACTCCCCAGGAAACCCAGCTCAGGCAGCTGGTACAAGATCTAGGTCCATCTTTGCCCTGTGTGATGGCAAGAAGGAGATATCACACTGAAAGCACCAGTGCTGGAGCAGGCACAGACTGCATAGCCTGTAAACAAAGAGGAGGACAAAACAAGATGAGCAGCTTCACAAAAAGATGCTATGAGTTATCAAAAAAGAAACCCCAGAGAATGATAACGGGCTTGTACCTCTGATGACATTACCCTTGGTGTAAGCATAGTCTTTTGAAATGAAGGACTATATTATTAATGTTTGAACTTTACTAATGTGAAAGACTTGAAATGTCTGCTACTGTTTACTATAGCCACATATTTAGACAGAACTGAACACCATCAAGCATTTTAAATCATAAAAAAACATCCATGTGGCTGTATGATTTAAAAACCTTGAAAGCCCTCAGAAACTAAGCCACTCTTGGAGTCACTTCACCCCTATTTTCCTCTGCTTGCCAGCACACTCCAGTGTTCATGGACTGGGAAAGGTGAAGTGCTGCAGATTTGGCTAATAGTTCATGCAAAGTATTTCTTCCTGCCTGCAGTGCATTCAGCTAACTTTCCATACCCCATTGCTCATAGTGCATAAGGGTGTCCTAAAGCAGATGATGTCATTACTGTCCCAGATTGGATGATGTCCAACCCCACAAGACCAAATTGAGTCCAGTTCTTAAGCCTGTGTCTAAACTGAGCACGTGAATAGCCCCTTGAGCCAAAGATTCACTTATTAGACAAATTACTAATAGGCTATGCAAGGATCTCTGAAGAAAATCCTAATGTAAAGTTACAAATGTAAAGCAAAATGCTTCCATTTATTCATATGAAGTGTTGGCAAGTGAGTGCGTGCAAGTATTTGTGTGTGCACATGTACACGGAGTCACGGTGATTGGTTTTTAAAAGAAAATAAAAATGGTCTGGAAAATGTTTCTAGAGAACAAAAATTATTACAGGCAACAAAGGATATAGTCACATTTTTAATTCAAATTACTCCTATCTATTCTTGCCTTGCCTAGCTTTGATCCTGAGTGTCCTTATCGTATAATCACAGAAATGTTCTTGTTACCCAACACTGCTTTAAATTGCTAGGTTTAGAGAGGGGTGGTTTGGGGTTTGTTTTAAGTCTCTTACAAATTTTACAAGGCTGCATACACTTTCCAGGGCTCCATTTTCACACGTGTCTCTCTCCCATAAAAGCGGCTCACTTCTTTTAAACATAGCTACGAGCCAAGAGAAAATGATCACAAAGAGCACTATCATTAGTTTAGCATCATCAAGACAATGTTTATATGAGTTTATACTACAGAGGAGCTCATATTCAAATAACTCATGCGCATTGTCCTCAGACAAGGAAAAAAAAGTCCAACCAACCATGTAAGCCAAGTCACGAAATTTAATTAGGAAGATAAGAGATGGGGTTTTATTTCTGTGGGAGTTGTTTTAGGTTACGAAAAAGATAATTTTAGGCAGAGAATTAGCATCTTCTAATAATCTTAGACAAAAATGATTTTGTTTTGCTTTGGTTTGTAAATTAGCTCATGATTAAAGTATCTCTCTAGTTGAGCTTCTTTGTCTTTTTGCACCTATTTTCTGAATGCAACCCTGACCTGAATACTCTCGTAGCTCAAGTACAAGATTTGAAAGCATGAGAGGAACAATTATTATAAAGTGAAGTACTTACAGTTTTACTGCAAAATCAATGAACTTTCAAGTGATTTGTATCATATTTTGCAGCTGTTCTGTTTGCTTTGAATGCTATTTGCCACACCAAAAACTGTAGTACTTTTAAAGGGTGCTTTCTCTAGAAACTTCCTCCACCTGTATTTCCTTGCAGAACCCAGTGCTGTAAATACTGCTTCCCAAGGGTATTTTTATCTCACGCTTCAGAAATCCTCTCTCAACGTTTAGGCCAGTGATTTTGCTCAGTCCCTGCCCTGTTCTCTCTCATGGATTCTTAAATGAGGAAAAGCTCAAAGTTCCCAACTTAATCCACAATTTTGCAGCAGTTCAATGATATGTCACCATTCAAAGCTACCTTTCTGACACTTTTATAACGGAAAGGAACAGCCCCATGTGATCTAGGTGTGTAGGAGCTCAGACCATTTGCCAGGAACCATACAGTAAGAAGCAGCGAAGTGGCACTCCTCCCAGGGGCCTGATCCATAAGGTCATCCATGGACATTAGAGGTAAATATTCTACTGACTTCAGTGGTACAGGGTTAGAAGAACAGCTCAGCTTGCTCTCAGATACATTTCCAAATCAATCCTCTACCTCAAGCAGAGCCATCTCCTTCTCCAAATGGGATTGCAAAAGTTAGGACCTTTATGAAAGACCTGCTTGGTTACCTTTCCCTACTTTGACCCTCTCAGCCAAAGCTGTATGCTCTGGGCAATATTTACTACAGATCTGCTGCTCCTTCCCGACTGCTGTGTATTCTGCTGAATATTAACAACCTAATCCTACAAACCTTCCTCCCTGGGCAGAGCTCCTTTAGCAGTCCCTTGCACTCCAACACAACTGATGTCATCATTCACAGAATAACAGACAGGTTTGGGTTGGAAGGGACCTTAAGATCATCCAGGTCCAACCCCCTGCCACTGGCAGGGACACCTTCCACTAGAGGAGGTTGCTCCAAGCCCCTGTGTCCAACCTGGCCTTGAGCACTGCCAGGGATGGGGCAGCCACAGCTTCTCTGGGCACCCTGTGCCAGCACCTCAGCACCCTCACAGGAAGAATAATGATTGTGTTACTGCACTGTATCAACCACTACACACACACTCACTAAACGGATGGCCTCTTACCTCAGGTTAATTTACAGTCCTGGTTACAACCAGATGCAACAGGGGCAAATCAAACGAGAGGGGAGAGGAAACTCAAAAGAGAATGCAGTGACAATAAAAGGCAAACAAACAAAATAAACCCAAAACATATATCAACTGGCATAGTCTTGTGGGCACTGCAGTGGAAGGGAGTTTATTCATGGTGCTATACCCAAAAGCATTGCATAATAAAATTGTATTTCATACATTCACCAGTACATAAAATTAATGCAGCTGTGTAACTCCTATTATACTTCCTTATGTAATTCATACCACTCCTATCTCCTTTCTGTTTAAATCAATAGAAATTTAATTTTCCTTAAATGCTTACTGATCACCAGTAAAACCTTGAATTATTTGCTTTATCAGAGCTAATACAAAGATGTACTTAGGCTGGTTCACAGCTCCAGTGACTGGCAGTCACAGCTACTTTTAAATCACATTCACTGACCTTCTAGACAACATCCTCAGACACTTCAGACCAAAGCACACATCGTGGAAGTTTTACAATGCACTATTCCACTGCTCAACTTAGGAGTAGGTGAGCCTTAGTGTTGCTGCTCCATGGTACCTGATGAGAAAGGTACCTCTCCTGTGGTAAATAAGGTAAAAGCATATCAACTAAAACCACAGTAATCACAGCCCATCTAAAACATGGTAAATTGATCATACATGTGAGCCCAAAGAGAAGAACAGAGAGAGACTTTACATGCAAAAACTATGAAACCCCCGTAAGTCACATAAATACTTTAAAGATGAAGCCCAGAGGAAATACTGCTTTGAGGATGTCTACTGGCAGTTACACCAATACAGGGGCATTTCATTTAACAGATCAGAGCCCGGAGCACTTGAACCATCTATTGGTTGCCTTCTGACCATCAGTATGATAACTGTCCTCTTAAGCCCCTCCCCTGGGGCTGTCTAGGTCACCTTTACTTAAATTTACCTGATTCTAGCTTTGCAGTCACGGTTCCCAGCCTTTGTCCTCTTTCATCCAGCATTTCATCCTTCCACTTCTTTTTTTCTTCTTTTTCAAAACTGCTGTTAATTAAATTTAACAATTGACAAACCTAAACAAGAATAAAAGTGGGATTCTATCTACGGTACAAGTGATTTCAAGCAGGACACAAAGATGTTTGAATCCTTGGGATGCAGATCTCACCATTCCAAATGCAAAGAAAAGTCAAACTTAGAGCTGTCCCAAATTATACTGTCACGTAGGTACTCTCACACACATACCCACCTTGATGCAAATACAAAAAAAAATATGTGGATTTTGGTAAAAACTTCATCCAACAAAAGAAGGCACAATAAAAATTTATTTAGGAATTGCTTAATTTCAGAATTGTTTTTTGAATTCCTTTTATGTTACCTAAAACTACTGGTGTTTTCTCCAGCATGTCTATCTTTATGAGTACCACATACAAATATAGACTATTTCTATGTGTAATATACTTGGTGGGCTTTGTACTTTGCTGTATAAAGATTGAGACAGTTGCTATCAAACCTTCTCTTCAGTTTCAGTGCCTTGAAACTATTTGGCACTAAAACAGGTCAGCTCTTAAGTAACATAACTTCTTAAAAGAGAATTGTTACAGATAGGTAGAGACACAATAAAAACAAAATAAACCACGTAAAGATATAACAACAAAGGACTTTTTTGTTTCTGACTATACTGCTAAAAGAAAGAATATATATTGTGCAAATCAGATCTGATAAAATTCATTGTTTTAAACAGTAGACAAGCACCAGTGTTATCTCTTATTTTCATCTCTTCCATACTATCTGAATCTATTATCGCCCATTTTGAATCCAAAAGCCATGATTCAACTGAAGCACATCTTACAGCACAACATGCAATATTTTTCAGTCACAGAGAAACCACTTCAGTCCTTAAATTGTTCCAGCAGTTCATTATCCTCCCTGATAAAAATGTACCTTGTATCTAGTCTGAATTAGTCAAGATTTGCCTTCCAGTTCTGGACTTTGATAACTTTTTGCTCATGTTACTGCTTGTATTCCCCCCCTGTCCCCGGAGATATTTTTATCACTGTTTAACCTTCTATTTGATGAACAGAATGTATGAGGATCCTTGACTCCCGCATTCCAAACCAGGTTTCCATTCAGGTAATTTGTTATGTCACTCTTCCCTGAACTCTAACCTTTTTAACATTGTTGTGAAGTGTGGCCCCTTGGAGCAGATGCAGTAGCAGATGCTTCCCCTCAAAGCTTTTCCCCATTTCCAAGAACAGGGATTTGTTCTTCTGGCCACATTCAGCTATTTGCCCACCTGCAATCCTGAATATCTGTGCTGGGGCTTCAGCACATTCCCAGTATCAAGTAACGTGATTTTGGCTGCTAGAAGAGCCAGGTAAAAAGAAACAGAAGGAAAGGTGGAAAGAAAGGCAAGTCTGTGCATCTGGTTTCTTCCCACTGCTATCCTGTACTCAGCTGTGCAGTTTATAAGCAGCTTTCTGCATCTTTGGGGCTTATTTTATTTGTATTCCTAATGTTACAGTGCAAGGAGTCACAGAAGACCTGCAAGCACCAAAACCTGAACATATGCAGCATCCCCTTTGGTAACCCCCCCACCTCAATTGTTCCCCATTACTTTTTTGGATAAAAAGTATAAAAGAACAAAATCTGGAAGCAAATGTTCAATGTAGTCAGTGTACAGAGCACTAAGCTTGGGAAAACCTGTTATCTGGCACAAATTCTAGAGCACAGTGCTTATTTGAGCTGGTTGCAGCACAGAAGCTTTAAAGAACATTAAGGAGGAAAATGACACTAAAAACAGTTCTGTCTGCAGCATTACCTGCTCTCAGCTGAGCTAATACTCTCTGTGGTTTTGCAAAGCATTAGTGAAAAAGAAAACAACAAACCAACATTAAAACAAAACTCTAACAGCAAGTAAAGAGCCCTCGGGGCCTGGGCCAGAAACTGAGACTAAACCAGCACCAGTAGTGACTGTCAGCCTCTCTACAGAAGCTTTCAGGAAACAGAAGTGGCCAAGATGCTTACAGTTTTTAATGGGTTGTTTGTCTTTCCTAGGAAAGAACTTGCAGGGATGAAAGCAAGCCCTGCAAAAGCTGGAGTCATAGGTCTTACTGAGGGCTCTGTGTGCTGTCCCCATAGACTCCCTCGTTAGCTTGTGTGTAAATGCAGAACTGAACCAAAGCCTTTGTGCGGTGCCAGGGGATGCTGCAATGAAATCATCTGGAGGAGTTATAAAGACTCACATGCCTTTCAAACCATCTGTGTGTATTACACCATCACCAAGTCTTTTTACAGAGATGTCCTTGCATTGATCAATGCTGTCATTCACAAACTTTCAGGTATCTGGATTTAGGCTCCCTGAAATCATCGGACTGACTAAAAATGCTCCTACGCTTGATATAGTTGATGCTGAAGTAATGTATTTGATGGACTTTCTATTTAGATGGTAAATACTCGGGTTCTGTAGGGTATCTATTAAGAAAGTATAGTTTGCAGGCCTGAACTATTCCAAGTCACAGAAAGTGCATATAAAACAAACACTAGGGTCTCCCTTACTCTGTGTAAGACGGTGGTGGGCTACGCTGGTGCATGCTTGAAACATTAGGGAAGACAGACTCTAGGTAAGTAATAAACTGCTGTATGTATTGCCTTAGGAGCAGGTTAGAACCTTCCCTTGCTCACCAGCATTTAACAGCAACCCCTCCAAAGGACAATGCTTCCAAAAGCACAAAGTTGAACATGGTAATAAAAACACATCTTAAAAGCTCAAGCCCCTGTGTTTCAGTGCTTTAAAAGGTGGCAGCTTGGCAGACCTGGAGACTGACAGCAGCAGTGTCAGCTTTCCTCTCAGTGCTCTGCCAAAGCACCTCAACCTTGACCTGAAGAGAAAACCACAAAGGGTTTGAGTGGGATTTCATGCCCGTTCACTCTGGCATCTCTGCTGAGATTGCCAACACGGGGGCCAATTAGTGCTTGCTTCTGAGGAGCAGTTTTCCCACCGCGTGGAAGTGACACCTGTCCACTGAAACTAGGCAGAGACCCACCGATTCCCTGGGTGCCAGCGACTGCGCAGCCACTGCAAGGGTTACTGCTCCTGGTGACACCGCTTGCACCAGGCATGCAGCAGCTCCAAGTCGTTGTCCAAGTGGGACCAAACCCACTTTTCTTTCCCAACAAGTAGTCCTTTCTGATTCAAAATAGCAGCCTTGTGTTAAGAGATTGAATTGTTGGAACAAGTCTGAAGGAGGCCACAAGGATGCTCAGGGGCTGCAGCACCTCCCATAGGGAGACAGGCTGAGAATATTGGGGCTGTTCAGCCTGGAGAAGAGAAGCTGCGTGGAGACCTCAGAGCAGTTTCCAGTGTCTGAAGGGGGCTACAAGGATGCTGGAGAGGGACTCTTCATCAGGGACCACAGCAATAGGACAAGGGGTGAGGGGTTCAAACTGAAACAGCAGAAGTTCAGGTCAGATCTAAGGCAGAAGCTCTTCCCTGTGAGAGTGCTGAGGTGCTGGAACAGGGTGCCCAAAGAAGTGGTGAATGCTCCATCCCTGACAGTGTTCAAGGCCAGGTTGGACAGAGCCTTGAGCAACATGGACTAGGGTGACATGTCAGGGGTTGGAACTGCATGATCTTAAAGTTCTTTCTGATCCAATCCATTCTGTGATTCTATGCATTTTAAAAGTGATTCTTACTATGCAAGCTCCTCGAGCCTCACTGCAGATCAAAAGGCTGGTTTCATTGTGTATGCAAGTACAGCCTCATCAAGGAATTGTACAAGGGCAGAAGGAGATGAAGAGAGAGGTCTTCAGCCCTTTTTGTTAAACAGAGAGAAAATGCAACTTTCCTGCTGGGCTCTTTCCCTCCTCACAAGACCTAATTGGTAATTTTTTGGGGATGTTTGCATCCTAAAGCGATCAAGAAGGAAGTAGCTGCAATTGTAACATGAGCAGACATAGGTCTCTTCAACTCAGCCACTATAAAACTCATCACACTTTAATTAATGTCCTTGCAGCACAGTTTGAATAGGAGCCCATTTGCAGTGTAAATTGTGGAAATATTACTTAGTGGAACAGGAAAATTCTTTGTGGATTAAAACAAATTTTATGAAGAATATCTTTCATAAATTCCAGTTCATTCAGCTTCATTTTGTCAAAGTGAAAAAGTCATTCTCTTTCAAATCAGACATCACCCTCCAGTTTATCTGTCACCAGCATCATCTTACTAACCCCTCTAAGGATGTCATCTGACTGCAGTTTTCTATCACTCTGTAATTCCAGGTGTACTTCTTGACAATTGTTTTAGATCCCTATCCAGAGTCTCCTCCAGGAATCTAGAAGGACCATGAAGATTGCATCAAGGACTTGATTAAACAACAGATAAAATGCTTACCCAGCATCCTAACCTCATTTGCAAGGTTTCACACAGCATGATTGACAGCTGATGCCCCAAGCAAAACTGCTGTTTATAGAGTCCTTTTCAGTCCAACCACATTAGTCTCTCCGCATAGCAGAAGTCAGTACACTGCTATCAAAACCAAGTCTGTGACTGATAATATTGAACTCTTCATTACCCCAAGTGTTGCTGCAAGTAATACCATGGCTTTGGACACCACCATTCAATGAAGGCTTATTATTATAAAGATTCAGCTTATGGCATGATGAGAACAAGCAGCTTTGCAGCCAAGGTAAAAGAGGTGAATTGCAAATAGGTCTAGGTTATGAGAGAGACAGTGCCCCATTTTTATGAAGGAACCTGGTACCCTGGCACCCAACACAAGTTCAGTGGAACATGCTGGATCCTGTGCATTCAAACAGAACTGACCAAATTGTGTCTGGCGTTACAGTTCATGTGACTTATAAGAATAGAGACTTGTCCTGGCCTCCTCTCCTGCATTTACTTTCTCTCCCTCTTCACTCCAGAGGTGGCTGCATGCAGTACTGGCTGTTCAGAACTGGCTACACACCAGGATCTCTCAGCAAGATAGCTGCTAATCTCTCCCTGGGAACAGCACCCAGTTTGCTCTGCCCGAAGTCACAACACATCCTTCTGGTTCCTTTGTCCACTCTGTATTTC